ATCATACATTCCATTGGTTATGGTGCCACCTATCACAACGAACGCTAATAATTAAACAAATGCATTAATAGATATAAATGTGATGAATAAAATCAGTTTGAATATTGTTTGTTTTTTTTACTATTTAGAATCAAAATTCAAAAAAAAAATTCAATTTCATTTATATATCTTTATTTTTCATCAAGAACAATAATACTGCAATTACATTAATGAACTTTCATCAATCCAAGAGTTATGATCTCCAGAAAATCTCAACCATTTCACGAATAGGCGACGTCCTTTCTTTTCCAAAACTCGTTCAACCAAATATGTATTGGGATCTTTTGCTTTATTCAACTCCATTTTATAAAAGCAACCTTTGATTGGATGTCCATTCACATCTTCTAGCTCATAAGTTATAGGGTCTGTACTATTAATTTTCACAACTTTAAAAATTTCAGTGGTGAAGTTTGCAGTATAACCTTTGGCGAATACGTTTTTAAATTTACTAATTCGTACCATATCTCCAATTTTAAATTGACTTTTTCCACGTTTACCACTTGGCTTCTCAGATTTTGTATAAACGAACAATTTTGTAGATGGTTTTACCTCTGCAGGCTTCATGCCAATGGTGCGATGAACTTTGTTGTTATATTGATTGGTAATTTTAGGAAGAACTTTCAACCACTTGTAATGACTTTGAAGTCATGAGTAAAGAACAACTCGCTGATATGCCAAAAGAGGTGATGATTGGGTGTGCGTCACATGAAATTGCATCTGTATGGGATAAGTTACCACAAAACCTACAAAATGATATTGATATGATGAAGTATCAGTACTGCCAAGAGCATTACAATGATTCCAGCGGCGGCGGCAGCTGTATTTCTGATGTGAATAATGGTCCACCTACAAGAAAAATTTTCTGTTGTTATTGTGAAGTGAATGATGTGAATGTAGTCACAAATAGAGATATGGATAGAGCACCGAAAAAGCGACGATTACTCCACAATTTCTGCTGTCAGCAATAAAAAGACTTGAATCAGTGAAAATTCATCAGTCATGTCACGTACGTTTTCATTGACGGGATACTCTGGCGAGTTGAGCGCCAACTTTTACCCTCCCATCGAATTGGATGCCACCAGTAATTATGGTCTGGGATTACATGGTTTCTACTCCTACAACTCCATATTCAATGTAGATGCTAAGGATAATGTTATCGGCTATTCGCAGATAATAAACTCACCCCCCACTATTATAAACATTCCACCTGGAGCATATTAAATTTATGAAATCAATAAGGTGATTCAAAGATTCATCAAATTCAAAGAACTGAAACTAGAAAATGGGGATGAAGAAAATATCAACGAAGTATTTCTCCTACATGCAAACAACAACACTCTGAAATGCGAAATGCGCTCCAAATATTTCATCAATCTCAAACATGAAAACACCATTGCTGAACTTCTGGGGTTTGATAATAATGTGTTCGGTTGTGGAGGAACACACGAATCAACATTGCCTGTGAATATCAATAAGGCAAGAATAATTCGTGTGGATTGTAATGTTACAGCTGGAGCATATTCAAATGGTGATGAAATCCATAGCATCTTTGAATTTGATATTGATGTAGAGCCCGGTTACAAACTCACCAAAGAGCCACAAAATATTATATATATGCCAATCCAACCTGGGGGTCGTCAGTATCTCGACAATATCACTCTACGCATATTGGATGATAATGGTAAGCTGATCAATTTCAATGGTGAAAAAATAATAGTTAAATTGGAATTGATAAAGCTATAACAATCATCATTTCTCATATGTTGAATCACAACATCAACGACCGTCATAAGTGTATCACAAAAATGAGTGGAGGAAGCATCGATAAGTTTGGTCGCAGAAGTAAGGCTGTTTCAAATACTGTTTTGCGAGGACCACCTGGAGCCGGTTTCAAATTGACTTCCGATGGAAACTTCGATATGGAAAATAAACGTTTGAAAAATATAGCACAACCTGAAGAGAGTACGGATTGTGTTAATCGTGATTATGTTGGTTTTTACATCTCAGAGATTAGAGGAGAAATAGATTCTGACATTGATAAAATCAATTTGAGATTAGATAGAGTAGAAACACATTCCTCATCTGTTAGAAAAGATCTCATTGCGCTTGGACTGAAACAACCCTCGATAAGTATTCAAACAATTGACCAAAAACGATTGTGAGCGATGATCATCTGTGGAAAAATCAATATAAAGCTGAAGCTCATAAAATAGTTACTCAGTATTTATTACTTCTCAGCGCTGAGCAGATGATAATCTTTGATGAAGTTATAAACTCTACAATTAATGTGAAAAAATGGGATTGTGTTCTAATAGCCATCGATTACAGCAGCGGCAGCTGATGAATCAACGTAATGCATTTGGTGGAGAGTATAGTCATGTGCATTTAAAGGAGGGGAAATCTAAAAGTCGATTCATTCCACATATGTTAGCCAAACGGTCAAGATATAGAATAAGCGCTAGTAGCGTGAACTTTCTCAAATCCATTGGTTTGAAGGTGCGATATAAAGAATAGTAATAACATGGCTACCATCACCACAAGTGATGAATTGGAGGTATTCGAGGAGCCCATGTTCGACCATTCCTTCATTAGCCATCATGAGCATACATATAAGCCATATGGTTCACCATATTACAAAAATTCAGATGAAATAAGAATTCCAATCAATTTTCAAGATCTTATACTGGATAGAGCGGACAGTTACATTTATATCAAGGGTAAGTTCACACCATCTGATACCACGAGGCAGTTCAACCTATCCAATAACGCCCTCGCCTTTCTCTTCGATGATATTCGCTATGAAATGGGGGGTGACCAAGTGGTCGTTGTTCGAAAACCTGGTATAACTACAACAATGAAAACGATTATATCATTCGGACAAACACAAGCAAATTCACTACTACCGATAGGATGGGGTCTTGATGTGAATAAACAAGATATATTGGATTCCGTCAGCAATGTATTCAGCGGCAAATTACCCTTGAAGTATCATCTCATGGGTTTTACTGAAGGTAACAATAAAGGGATATTGAATGTGAAGCAGGAGCTCATTTTGATTATAGCACGCTCATTCAGAAATTCATTCTTTGGAGAAGTTGATGCAGATTTGGAAATCAATAAAATAGAATGGAGAATCAGACACATTGTGCCGGAAGATCGCCAGAAATTGAAACTATTGAATCGCATCAATAAAAATTCTAATA